TAATATGCCAGCACTGCCTCGGTGTAGCCAACTCTGAGACACATCATTCATGGTCACCCTTGACCCTGGTTTTCCCCCCACCTCTGGGTGTATTGTAATTCATATTCTCCAATGGGACACATCCATAGCCCAGAGTCACTGATCATGCTCTCCAGTTACAATTTTTGCCTGGCAGAAACTTCGGTCAACGACTTACTATCTTTGGAAACATTTATGGAATGCAGTTTTGGTTTGCAAGTGTTTGCGGCACTGCTCCCCACTCCCTTTCTGTTGGCAACTCTAAAAAGACCAGAGAAATATTTTATGAGTTGATATATCTGTATCTGAAATGACAGTTCTTTTTTTCTTCAAAAAAAATAGGATGCAACAATCAATCATTCAATTTTTATGAGGTCATAGACTCATAGAAGAAACAAGAAAATCACATTTGTTTACGTGTTTGTTCGAGTGTGCATCATACAATATATCTGGGTGTAAAATAAAAAATTCAGATGCTTGGCCTATTTATGACAGGGTCACATGATCTCCTTTTGCGACCGTCTGACAAGCAAAGTCAATGAGGAAAACCAGATTCGTGTTGTGGCCTGCCGCCGGCTAATGGAGCTGGCAGCAGAGTCAGACAGCAAGGAGGCTGGGGAGGAACCTGGGCCAGTCCTGGAGGCTGAGGAAGACTCGGAGTAGGGCTCTGCTTCAGAGGCAGAGATGGGGCCAGGGCAGACTGGCAGTCATCAGCTGCCTTTGGTCTCAGACAGCAGCGAAGTGGGGGAGCTTCTGGAACCGGTTCCCAGCCTGCACATGCCCAGAGCTGTGAAAAGGAAGGAACAATTAAGAACTCAGGGTAGAGTAAGGCCACAATGAATGCCCCCCTCCCATAAGGATTAAAAGAAGAGCAAAAGGGGAGGGGGATTTTGTAGGAAACAATTCGTCCATTCGTTTGTTCATTCCAGCCTCGTGAAGATTTGTCTGTGTAACAACCTAGGGACTCTGTGCCCAGTCCTTCCCTGTCAGCACTGTGTGTGGAACTATTTACCGGGCAGCTTTCCAAGATAGATAAGTTCTGAGCTAATACTTATACTTAAAGACTGTTTGCCAGGCCGTTGCTGAATGTGAATGCAGTAAATTCACATCCATTTAATAAAAGAGGTTTTGCCAGGACACAGAGTTGCTTAGTGCTTTTTGGGGAAGCCCAGGACAGAACAATTTGCTTGACACCCATGTAACTTAACTGCAGTAATTCACTTAACGACTGTGACAAGAAAGGTCACACAACGGGGCAGAGCTCACTTAAACCCAGGACGTAAACCTAGGAAATAAAACAGCAGAATGAAACAAAGCAGATCATTGGATTACCCTATAACATGAAATTAAAAATATATTATTAAGAGATGTCAATGCCAAGGGAAATTAAAAATATCTCCCTGGGCAAAAAAAACCCTAACAATGATTATCCTGGGTAGCTTGATTTGGGGAAGATATTCTATAGCTGAAGGACCATTATCAAAGATTTATTATATTAATCATTTAAAACTCCGACTCTGCCACAGAAACGTCTCTAAATCAGGGAACATCCTGCGGGATAAACATTGATGAATATAAGAAGTTCCAGCAAGTACAAATTGCATTAAGGAAATGACTCCCTTCTAGCAATTATTAGCCAGCATTTTAAGCCATCTTTGGTTATACATTCACTTCCAGATCGGAGTTTGGTTAGTTTTAGCAAAATTCTTCAAGGGTTGCCGAACTACATCTTGCATCATTGTTTAACCATCTTGGTCTGTATAGATAGTCTTCAATTTACAACTACTGTTGAGACCAAAACTTATGTCACTAACTGAGACATTTGTTAAATGAGTTTCCCCCCATTTAACAACGTTCAGTTAAGTGAATCACTGCAGGTTTTAAGTTAGTCATATGGTTGTTAAATGAATTAGTTTTCTCCATTGACTTTGAAGGTCAAAAGGGGATCACATGACCCCAGGACAATGCAATGGTCATAAATAGGAATCAGTTGCCAAGCTTATGAATTTGGACCACGTGACCCAGGAGATGCTGCAATGTTAAGGGTGAAAAACGGTCATAAGTCACTTCTCTCAATGCCATTGTAACTCCAAATGGTCGCTGAACAAACTGCTGTAAATCAAGGACTATACCTGGATTGGTTCAAGGAAATTATGAGTTTTAACCTAGGAGGTACAGAGATAGCTACTTCAAAGTAAAAAAAATAGCATGAAATTCAAGTTGCGGGTCTTAGTCTATTGTCCATCAAAGTGCGCTAGGACCATGAATCAAAGTTTGGTCTTGGTTTGAAAACTTGGATCTTACAGGGGACAAACCAAGTTATATGAGAGAGAGAGAGAGATCCTAGCTTCAAGGTCAGGGACAAACATGATAGATAGATAGATAGATAGATAGATAGATAGATAGATAGATAGATA